AGAAAACATGACTTGATTTAAAGTCAGTATGTGTTCAGTGTTATAAGTGCTTCAGTTTTGGTATTATAATAATACATTTATTCTGTATTTGATATTAAAAAGCTTCAATTCAATTAACTTTAAGGGTTTAAACTTTGTGCAGTTGTTATAGTAAGCAACATAAAGCTGGATGTTTTGGCCTGACAGGATTTCTTTATGATATTTTCTGCAAAGGAAGTCACATTGTTTGGTAAAAACAGATGGAACTAAAGTAGGACAGGACAAAACAAAAAGGTGGCACAATAGAAGAAACATTTGAACCAAAACATAAAATGTAGTCCTATTTTGGCCTGTTTAAGCCCAAAACACCCTGAGCACAAATCCTATTTAAAGAGGTTAGAGGTGAAACAGATTTTGTGTTCAAGCATAATCCAGCTCAGTGACGGAGAACAAACCCACCCACCCACACAAGGAGTTTAGTCTGGTGCTCAGAAATAGTGTCATTACACCTTTAATCACCTGGAAAAACATCAAACATTGTCTGGGTTTACACTCATCCTTCTGCTATTGCACTACTACGATTTTATTATGCTCTAAAGGCTTGACTAGTTAATGGCACGTCGCTGACTTGATTGTAGGGCAAGTTGATAAGCTTTTCCTGTTTAATTAATTTAGTGTAAAGTAGAAATCCCATTACCTTTGCACACACACTGGAATTGTCAAACTGTCTGTGATCCACAGGCAGCTGCGCTGTAAGTGCTCTTCACATGAAACAGAAATGGGATTGGAAGTCACTGTTCTCGCTCAGAAAAAAATCTCTAATTGAGAGTGAAGGTGCTGTTGCGCTGACCCACTATTTTCTTAAACTCACTTCACTTTATCTGCTGTGAGTTGACGTTTGACCTCAATTTTGTAATTTGTAATTTTTAAGGGCCCATTAACTGAAATGCTTAATAACTGTTTTAGTAAAGGCTGCACTGGCAAGCTAAACCACTTCAGTCTATACACAACAATCAAAGTTATTTATATTTAGATATGAATACAGCTGGCTTGGATTAATCGGGTACATGAAGATGAATTTATTTTTTCAGATTTGAGTCTCTGCTTATATTAGCCACCTACTAATCAGAAGAATCATTTGAAACTTATTTGTACATCATATACTCATCTAGAAATGTTCTGCTTGTAGAGGAGAGCCATTTCATGTAAAGGTTGATAATGATCTTATTTTTGCATCTGGATTGTGCAACAGTCAACCAGGCAGCTCTGAAAATGTGGTGACTAATTTGTCTTTGCGTGTTACATATATTTGGTATTTGTTAATTTATTAAAGTAATAATAGTAATAAAAATAATAAAAATAATAAAAAATAATAAAAATAATGTTATTATTGTTATTAGTGTTGAAACTGCAACCCTGTATTACACACCTATCAATGTACTCAATCACTGAGAAGCTCAAAAGGATCAAATGTGACCAGTTACAATACAATATACAAAACCCCAGGATAAAGAGCCATTTTCATTGGCTGACAGGACGAGCGCCGAACGTACGTACGGACGCACGCCGAGCTGTGGTACGTATATGTCTATGCGTATAAGCACGCTGTGGTACGTATACGCACGCTGTGGTACCCATCTCCAAGATGAGATGTTTAGGTGACGGTTAGATTATACGCCAAAACTACGTGTGAGTGATTCTATTTATATTTTAATGTACGTTTTTTCTGACACTATTTTCATAATCATAAACGCAGTTTTGTCAATTAATAACAGGTTACTGAAATTCAATGAGCATGTTACCCTTTAGGAACACATTTGTCGTAAATATTGTGAACTATTTCCGCATTACATGTAATTATAGCTCACCACAATTTGTAGCGATTAACTAAAGTCACGTTTACCAATTACGTTTGTCGGAATTACGAGTTTACGAGGAGGTCGTGAAGTGCTCCTATGTCCGCGCTCTGAAGTACCTCACTGTGGTACACTGGGGAAGTGTGTGTGTGTGTGTGGGAGGGGAAACGCCGCTGAACAGAAATCCTCTGCCGTGAAGGACAGGTCGGACCGGCAGCAGGCCTGAACTCCACATCTGTCCCCCCGGCGGACGGTCGCGATGGACTTCGTGCTGAGCGGAGCTGCTGCGTGCGGAGCCTGTCTGTTCACCAACCCGCTGGAGGTCGTCAAAACCCGAATGCAGCTTCAGGGAGAGCTCCAGAGCCGGGGCAGCTACCAGGTTTACTATCGCAACGTGTTCCACGCTTTTTACACCATCGGTAAGGTGGACGGACTGGCCGGCTTACAGAAAGGACTGGCGCCCGGGCTGGTTTATCAGTTCTTTATGAATGGAGTCCGGCTCGGCTCGTACGCCATCATTGAGTCCTCCGGATACATCCACACGAACGGAAGGGTCAGCGCGGCCAAAACCACGTTAGCAGGGGCTGTGGCTGGAGTGGTGGGTGCTGTGATGGGCAGTCCCGTGTACTTGGTGAGTAGTCTGAGTGGGCTTGAACGACTTTACTCTATCAGCTGTGACATTTGAAGGTGAGCTGTCACTAATTGTCTCCGTTGACAGGTTAAGACCCATCTCCAGAGTCAGTCCACCTCCTCTATAGCAGTTGGACATCAGTATAAACACCAGGTAACATATTAACCTAAAGTGATGCTGTTAAATGGAAGTGGCAGGAATACACAGTTTCCTCAGTGTTCCTCCTCTTCCTCCCAGGGGATGATCCACGCTCTGGCAGCCATCTACAGGGAGCATGGCATTCTGGGACTGTGGAGGGGATCCAGTGCTGCTGTACCCAGAGTCAGCGTGGGGTCAGCCGCACAACTTTCCACCTTCTCCTCCTCCAAGGAGCTTGTGCTTGACCTTGAGGTTAGCATGTTTTCCCGCACCCCACTGTGTGCTCGCTGAGGTTTGATCATCAGTTCACGGGTGATGGATGGGAACAGGCCGACTGGAGGGGTTGTTTTATTTTCCACCATGTGTGCACGTCTTCTGTATGGCCGCACTGTATAAACACACAAGTATAAACATGACTGTTTTGGGGGAGGTCTGGCATAAGTCACATGGAGCTTCTATGATTAGTGAAGCTACTAAAAGAGATTTGCTGCTTTTCTTTGTCTTATATGATAGTAAACATGGGCTCAGGGCTGTGACACATTGGCCTCTGGGTTCCCGTGATGGGCATTTTTCACTATCTGCTGATATTATCTAGAGTTTTGATTGGTCTAGATTCTAGACTAAAGAGAAAATAATCAGCAGATTCATTGATAATGAGAGTAATTATTAGTTGTCAGCCCTAAACTCACTTGAGAAGAGATAATTTGTAGTCAGTAGCTGTGTACAGGGTACAAAACCAGTCATTGTGACACTCACAAAGCGTCAGGCATTGTGCTCTGCTGGAATAGAAATTCGACACCTTTCATTGGCCCCTCTGGCTGAACCATGAAGCTTACACAACTAGTGCACCAGTTTACTTGCTGCTGACCTAGCTCTAGTTAAAGAAGGTCTTTCATTCTAAATGCCAGAACCGTAATGATTATTGAACATTGCTGTTTTCAATCGACCAGTCTGCGAAATGTTCAGATAGGAATCCTGACATTCTTGTGTGTAGTTTTCTTGTACTCTCTCTACTTGTACTTCCCCCAAATGTCCTTTTAGCTGTTTTAATTGGTTGGTGGGTCAGTAAGGGTGGAGGTGGGTCTGTCCACACGTCCCAGGGCCCCAAGCAACACTCCCACTGCCTCTTACATAAGCCGCTGCATTACTCTGTAGACGTCTTTGATTTTAATATTAACATTAGTGCTGTTCCACAATGTTCAGTAAACAAGTGGTTCACATCACTTACAAGTAAAAGACCTTCAAAGAGGATAAAAAGTTTAGATGCTGCTGTGTTGTCTGTTTTATTTTTTTATTGTTTTATTGTTGTATGACCAGGCTCATAAGGCTTGATGCAAATTAACTCCTCTGGGCATAATAAAGCTGTCAGTTATATCCGTTGGTGTTGTAAAATGGCAAGTTTGCACAGAAAACTGGTTTGACTGTAGCTACTGTAGAGAGAGAGAGTGTGTAACATAGCACTAATAATAGCACCATTCTTCTGTTTCACTGCTCACAGGAGGTCAAGACCAGTTAAAAATAGAAGTGCCTGCACTCATGGTGGTTCCCTGATGATGATATGTGTGATAATGATATGTCACTGCACTGGTGCGAAGAGTGCGCTACATCCTGTAATTTCTCGCTTTGTCCTTCTGCAGCTTAAGCCTTACCGCTCCTTAAGTGCATTCTCTCTTTCATCCTGTTCAACAACATTATTTCCTTTTTTCTCAAGGTGTTCCCAAAGGACAGCTGGTTGGTGGCCTTGACTGCCGGCATGATCAGCAGTGTGGTGGTGGTGCTTGCTATGACACCTTTTGATGTAGTGAGCACACGGCTCTACAACCAGCCTGTGGATCATTTGGGCAAGGTGAGGAGGGAGACCAATATGTTACACTTGTTTAGATTTGTATGATATCAAACCCCATTTTTCATACTGTGTATACCTAGCATGTTTCAGTAATTGCTATTCAATGTACTTGCAGGCTGAAATAGCTTGTTTGTATTATAGTCCTCATCGTAACTGGCGGGGTCCGCCAATCCTGTGCATGGTAATTTAGTACCAATGCACAAGGGTCTCACGGTCTAAATGATACATGTGCATAGTGAGCTCACTTCTCATAATGCAGTAGACAACATTCGATCATGAGTTCAGCGTTACCGTGTCAGATGACATTGGCGACTGCATTTATTAAAACATTCTCTAAGTCCACAGTTTGTTTGGCTGCGCTATAAACAAATTCACAATTCTCTTTCATGGTGTCTTTGCCACCCTCAGTGGTTGATACACAAAATACATACAAAACTCTAACCTGGATAGTTAAAATCCACTTGCCATTACCACGTGTAACCACAGAACCAGAACATAAATCATAAAGGGGGATTGCACTGATCAAATTTTGTTTACAGGTCTTGGGGGGCCTTTTGTTGCTCCAGTGGCAGAGCAGTGTTGCCAACTTGGCAACTTTCTCGCTAGATTTAGCAACCTTTCAAACCCTCTTAGCGACTTTATTTCTAAAAAGCGACTAGTGATAGTTTAAAGACTTATTCAGACCACCAGGGAAAAGGCTAGAAATACAAACAAACATTATATTGTTATTCATTCTAGTGCATGCTGCTAAGAGTAATCACAGTCCAGGCTTTTCTGCCAATAGCACAGGGGGTTTGTCCCTCTCCTCTTGGTCTGTGTTTAGGCACGCAGTAGGTGTAGCGTGTTTGACCTTCTCTCTCACTCTTTCTCTCCGGATCTCTGGATTAGGATGTTCATATAGCTTATATGTAAATAGTTAGTTTGAACTTGTAAAGATTTAAATAGTTTGTTTGATCACCTCCGTTTCTTTGTAGATTTTTTAAAATGATAATAATGTTCACAGTGTATGTAATTTCCATTGCCGTATACCAATCAGAAACAGGTTTGCATTTATTGATCAAACTGTTAAAAAAACAAGAAACAGTGACTACAAACATAATGAAAACAAATTGTAGCCAGTAGGGTGATTTCAATTCATTATATAGATATAAATGCAGGGAACAATTAGCAGAACTTCAGTCTTCCATGGCAGACCAGAGTGAGACAGTGAAGTTATGCAAGTTAGTGAAACAAAGTTATTAAATACATTATTATGTATGTGTGAAAACCACAACTCCAATTTAAGACATGGTTGTTAAGTCTGGGACAGTTGAAAGTCAGCTGAGTTGCATTGTGGGTAATGTAGGTGCCAGATTTTGACAAGGAAGAAGAATATGTGGAATAAAAAAAAAGAAGATGAAGTCTCTGGTTCTGCTGCATCAGTTTGATGAAATTGTTATACATGTGCAATACTAAATGGGTGAAGTACTCTTTTAGGGATTATAAGTAGTGACTGATGACTAAGGGGAGCTCTAACACTCATCCCATCCAGCTGGGACATTCAGCTGATCAGATCCAGGCTGACCTTTTTATTTTATTTTTTTCATTTTTTAGGGACAGCTTTATAAAGGATTTGCGGACTGCTTTTCTAAGACGCTGAGGAAGGAGGGCTTGATGGGACTCTACAAAGGCTTGGGAGCTTCTTATTTCCGTCTCGGTCCACACACCATTCTGTCTTTGTTCTTCTGGGATGAACTGCGCAAACTGTACCAGCAGTTCAGATAACACCAGGGACAAGGAATTTGGAAAATGGGTAACTCATTAAGCTCTGAGTGCACAGGTTAAATGAGTCCTCATTTAATGAGTGTATTATTGTGAGGGCAGAGAAAAACCAGGAGATGCTTTCCTTTTTTTATAGGAAGGAGAGAGAGCAAAGGTTAATGTTTTACACTCCAATAAGAAAACACATTAGTACAGTCAAAATGCATCAGGAAGAAGGGGGGAATCTCACAACTGTTGTCAGGAACTGAGCATCCGACAGATATGCACTTGGATTTGTCTTGGTGCCATATGTGCAGAGATATGATATATGATATATGATATATGATAACATAGCTCTTAAACTCTTCAGTTATGCCATTCCAAAAGATATAAAAGAATCAGCACAGCACACAACTCACACCTTCTGGAGAAAGCATCAAAACAGGCCACAGTTTGAGAAAAAAAAACGATTGTGCCAACTGACCAGGCAGCTGTTAAATACACCACTTCAGACAATTACTTGCATTTACTTTGTATTAGGGGCCAGATGAAACAAGAACAGCGTCTTCTTTCTGAGATGATCTGGTACAGCCAATTTCATCTTTCCTTAGCTGTTACACAAATAATAGTATAAACTGTGAACTCAATGGGAAGCATACTGTATGATTACTTGTCGAAATAAAGATAAAAGTAAACGCTGCTGTTTAGTCATCTCAGGTATCAGAACTGATGAAAATGTGCCAGTCATGCAAATGACCTTCCTTGTATTGGCAGAAGTATAATATAGAAACAGAAAGCAGATTTTCCTGTAAGTGTTGTTGAATCAAAGAGAACCTGCTGATCCACTGGTGAGCCAGTGAGAACAAACCTGGTTGTGGATTAAGATGAGTTTTCTAATCTTAAATGGAAAAAAGGGAAAATGTAATGTATTGTAAAGGAGTTCAAGGCAGCTCTTGGAAAAAGACTTCCGTTCATGAAGGACAAAATCTGTTAAAGCTGAGAATCCTTCAAAGGTTTCATTTTTAGTGTCCACAACAGAGAAAGGAAATTCTGAACTTAGGGCATGGTTTAGATCTCATGCAGCTTGTCTAGTAAAACTGCTAAAAGGGGACGTGAAAGTGAATACAATATTAAGAAATGATTGCCATATACACTTTGATGGAGTTGTGATAGTCAGCAAAATGAGCCATTAGAAATAGCAACACGTACCCGTTTATACAGTTTCACTGATGACATCTATAGTTTGTAACTTTTGAACCAGAGACCTGCGTACTGACATGTACAAACACAGTTTAGTGCTCTTCATTGTCCAAATTGTTACTGAATACACTAATGTGTGTGTGTATATATATATATATATATAACTAACGTCATATAGATGTCACTATTGCCTGAGCTAAACATCTCTTTTGTGTGACTGGTGGTTAACTTATTACTGCAAACATTTCTGTTTTTATTATATATTACAACTGAATGAACAATTAAAACTATTTTAAGTTAAAAAAAAAAACTAAATTGGTTTGACTTTAAGTTCACGTATCATTGTCTGTGTGCTACATGGCTTCATATTCACTGTTTCCTCTCGCCTCTGTGATTACGAAGTTGTATGATTCATCATTTGCGTTTCTAAACACTGTTGTGTAATGTGCTTCCTGTCCTACAAATGTATTAATAATTAATTAAATCCTTGAATAATTGTGACCTTTAGAATATTGAGACCATCCTGACCTTACAAAGATCACTTTTCGGTGTTGCCAGATCATCTTTCAACATTGCCAAAAGATTCAGTTAAGAGTCAACAAAAACTTTTTTTAATCTTAGCTGCTAAAATAACATTGTGATACGAAAAGCGAGTGACCAAATGGTGTGCCTTAATCATCCATCCAGAATAAAATAGAAATAAAATAGTTACTGAAGTGAGGTTTGGAGCTTTAATCAAGTAGTACAATTATTATATAATAATACGTTTAAGTTATAAGTTTTTTTGTGTGTTACTTTTCTATGCTTGATTTATATTAAAATCATTGTATCAAATTAATACTGTATTAATATTGTAGCTGTAGTGACATAACTATTTTAACTATATATGACAACTGTGCCAACATTCACAAATATTTTATTTATTTACACACACTTTAACTCATCATATTTCAGTGTGGTTTTTTTTGGCCTTTAAAAAGTACTTCAGTTTAAGACAGAAGAGCTTTTTGTCAAATACTTACTTAGTTAATGAAATGAAGTATTTAAGTAGTGATGTATATGGCATCCAGCAGGTTATTCACTTTTCTTCTTTGGGTTTGGTTTGGGGGCAGAAAAGTTAGCATTAACACCATGCTTGACAGCATAATGCAATGTGCAGGTCATTGTGAGCATATATTACATGTAAGTCCACTGACTCCAACAGCTCAGTGTCGTTATGATAAGTGGACCAGTGTGCAGTAGACTGTACAGGTTAGCCCAACAGTGCCATTACCGCGAAATGGATGCTGTTGGTAACAGTTTTAAGTCTAAAGTGATACAGAATTCGTCCTGTGAGCCAGATTTGGTGCTTTCTTCATAAAGTGCACAATATTCTGAAGTGTCAAGAGTTTATTAATACATTATTATTAGTGATTCAATAAATACTGAACAGCTGTCAACACTAGAGCTCAAAGTGTCTGTCATGACACATGTAAGAACTGTACTGTAGCTTTAAGACCACTTATTTGTCCTCTTAACTTACCTAATACAACACAAGAGACAAATGTTACTTGAGTTTATTTTGTATTATGAAGCTGAAGTTGGTCTTCTTATATTGCCATTGCCATTTTTATACGTGTGAAGCAACTTTCTTCTTCTGTCTTCTCTGTAATGACGCTCATTTGTACTATAAACAATGTATGTGGTTTATTATGTAGTATTCTTAACGGCCCAGTGTGTAACATTTAGGAGGATCTACTGGCAGGAATTGAATATAATATTCAGAGGTAATCTACCTACCTATGTACTACCTAATAGAGGAATCGTTAATTTATTGTTTTGTTAACTTAGATTGAGTCATTTTTATCAACAGATACCTCGTTGCTTTTCATAGAGGCTGCATGTTGAACCACATCGTTCTACATTAGCCCAGAAGGGACAAACCAAACACTGGCTCTAGATAGGTGCTTTTGCGTTTCCCATGCATTCTCCTTTGCACGTGGAAGAAGAGGCTGAAGTGACGGAGTTGCGATCTGCAACTACACATCTACATACCACTAAATCCTACACACTGTTCCTTTAAGTCTGTTTAATGAACGTTTTCTTGATTTATCTTGATTGGTCAAAATAATCCATAGCGATATGTATTATACACTGACAATTATCATAATTAGGGTTTCACATCTGACCAGAGATGATTACTGTCAGACAAACCTTGTGCCATTTGATGTCTCAGACACCAAAAATATCCAACTAATCTGCACGATGACTCCTTAAAACAAAACCAAGCCAGAAACCAGAAACCAAACTGTGTGAACAATTACTTTATAGAATGATCCTTCAATCAGATTTTAACATGGTATGCATTGCCGTCCACTACATGAGCCATGCCATTATAATAAAGCCAGTTTGTTGTGTCATTGTGTTATGAGCAGTCTACAGTGACTACAAACTAAGAAGTTACTGGCTACTTAACTTTAGGAGCACGATAAAAAATTCTAAAATTGTAAAAAAAAAAAAAAAAAAAAGTTGGAAAAGGTACTGATGATGATGTCAGATACATTTAATAATGCTATATGTAGTTTAATTAGTTTTTTGTTTGGAAATAAATCATTTGCAGAAGGTTGCAATATAAGGTCTCTGATGATTTGTGTATCATGAAAGCTGATGACAGGTGTTATAGAGTTGAGATATTAATGAATGTTACATGCAGCAGCTTGGCAATGTTTCATGAATGTTACAAACTGCACTTCCTGTTATGGGCAGCCAATTTTTCTGTGCAATGGACTTGAAGAGAAAATAAAATATCAGTCTTTTTATTATCATACGTTGTGGTGTTACATTGTTTCAGATGGACTGGATTGATGGTTCCCACGGGTCCTTGAGAGCCTTGAAAGTTTTTGAAAATAGACATAAATACACATGGGTCATTGAAAGTCTATTGGCAGAAATGTAATCTAATATTCATTGGTATGTTTTCATTAGTGTATAACCACCTGAAAATAAGGACTGGCATGTTGAACCGCCATGTTTCTGCAGTTTTTCATTGTTGTAATTCTCAGTGTTGTAACAGTAAATAACCTTGAAGGTGCTTCAATTTGAAGGAATGAGGGAATGGAAAGTCTTTAAAACATCCTTGAATTTGTTGTTTAAGAATGTGTAGGAACCCTGATTTTCAAATATATTATACTCAACCGCTAGTACCAATGCCTTGCACTATTTGATTAGGTATTGACTTTACACAGCTGAGGTTGTGGTTTGAGGTTCATTTCCTCAAGTTTACAAGAACCTCACAATTTCGTTCAGAATTGACCAATTGATGAATTTCCCCACCAGATGATTTAATTATTCGAGAACAGAAAGTGCAGCACTCTGTTTCTAAAGCATTTAGCAAGTGACCCCGGATAACTTTTGTGTTTAGCATGCAAAATGATTATGGAAAAGGTTCTAAAAATGGTTCTGACATTATGAAGAGTAAAAAGCAGTACAGTGAAAGACGTCAGATATAAATTGTCACATTACTATTATCTTCAAACATTGAAGGTATATCGCCTATATCCTGCAGTTGCGACATTGTTGTAATTCTCAGTGTTAGCAGTAAATAACCTTAAACCATTTCTCAAACTATGCCATGTTGGGTCCTTTAATTTTAAGGAATTGGGCATGGACATGTTTACATACCAAAACCATTGTGAAAAGAAAAATGTTGACAAGAGTCTACAGCCATGCTGTGCTTTAAGTTAAATGCTAATGTTATCATGTTCACCACTTCAGTTTAGCAAGATAGTAGTAGTAATAGTATTATATTGGATAATCAGCACTAAAGACAAAGTGCTGAGGCTGATGGGAATGTCATTAGCTGTGTATCCCTAGAGCCACGCTATTAGCATGGCTAAAAATGTAAGTATTAAAAGACAAACTATAATTAACCAATACTTTAAACAGGTTTTTTTGTAAAACCTGTCTATGTGCTCCATTAATTAACCACTAAAAAAAAGGAAATGTAGGTGTTCAAGATTTTATGTACACACAGATAATGTTTGACTGTGCTTTATGCCGTTTCTGTCATAAAGGTGACTGAAGGTGACAGCTCTGATAACTCTGTATGCTTTTACTTACAAATACACCACCTTTATTGTTATTTTTATTACTGAATGTCAAGAGACAATAATTCACTCACTTCATTCAATCAGTAGTTTTTCTGTGTTCAGTTGGATGGAAACAAACAAGTAACTAGCAAAAACAAGTTTAATATGTCATTGGCGCTCATGTGCTGGCACAGGCACTTCGTTCAGTGTGTCTTGGCAGAGCTCCTGCAAATGTCTGGAGTGTTACTGAGCAACACTGGACATACTGTTCACGGTGGCGTCAGTGAAAAGGTGCTGACACCCAAAATTGGTACTCTCAAAATATGAGCAGGTTACGGTATATTCCACATTCTATATGCATGTAAACAATTATATAATATAATCATCATCTTTAACATGATTTACTGGAGCTACCATAGTACTCTTTCATGAATCTTTCAACTAATTTACCTTATTGTGACTTCAAGTTCAATCCATCAGTCCGGCAGGAAAAAACTGAGCAGAGAAATTACTAACAGTCATCCCTAAAAAAAAAAACCTCAAGCAAAACAACTTCCTGCTGCTTCAGTGAGCTGCAAAGTAGTCAACACCACAGGTACACTACAGGCTGTACCAGTACTGGACATTTTGCAGTCATGCTCGGTAAAGCTGGATAAAAAATGTTAAAAAAGGGGCATAGAAACCTGGGCACTGAGTTAATAAAGAGAAAATAAAGACTAAAGTTCACTAAACAGTGACTTTTTTTCTACATATATTTTTAAAAGGGTTATAAGATAAATATTTCATCATATTATGTAATGCCAAAAAAAAAAAAAAAAACTAGAGGCTACCACAAAATTAGTCCAACTGGAATTAACATGATGGGGCCAACGTGAACATTTTCCCAGTCTAACAGGAAATGAAAGCATTATCAAAGGGATGTTCCTTCAACCACAGGAGGAACAGATCTGTGAAATGACCTAATCTGACCAACGCTTGTGTTTACTCATGTGACTCACTCCTTCCCCAGTTCAAAACCCTGTATGTGCTTTAGAAATTGCCCAAACTGGTGACATTCTTGTGACTTACCGCCTTACTGGATGATGTGTACTTGAGATGAAAAGCTTTCACTTCTTCAATTTTAGTAAACCCAAAAAAATGGCTTGACTAACCGTCAATAGAGCTACGGAGAGACTTTGAATACACTCAAGAACTGACTGTTTTATTTTGACAGTCACCTTCAGATGCCACCAGTCTTTTTTTTACAGCAGACATTTTGACTTGTCCTACTAGGAAAAGCACAGGTGTGACGATGACTCTGTTGTATTCAAGTGAGTGTGTGACAGTGAACCAGCATGCACAGCAACCCTGAAACAAAAGCAGCTAAATGGAATTCAGCCACCGTTAACTGTATTGTTTACACCTGTGCTTTTCCTACTGTGACGCTTCTTCATTGTCTTCTGTAAAAAAAAAAAAGGCCCATTGAAAGCTGTGTCACCTCTGAGAGTAAAGTCATTCCTATTTGACTCACTAGAGGGTGACAAAACCTTTTTTATTCCCTCCCTTAAAATTACAGGAAACTAACTGCAGAAATGAAAACCAAAATGTAGAAAATTATGAAAAGCATGACATTGAGGGTTCAAATTTACACAAAAACACAGCACGACTTGTTAAGACTGTAGCACACAGGCGTATTTGTACAAGAAGACCATGTAAACATTTTCTGCTAGTTTAGTGCAAAACATTTCTTGAATGACCAGAAGGATTTGCAAATAATGTGAGTGTTCATTTGTCACAGTCCTCCACCATCTACTCGCTCTTCTTTTTAGTGGTGGCGGTGCTGCTCCTGTAGCAGAGGACCTGGACCAGGAGGACACAGCTGAGACAGGCTGACAGAATGTGTGACAGAGTAGCAAATGAGCTTCCCGTCTCCTACAAGACAAAGTTCAAGGCATGTTAGTAAAGACAACAATAACAGATCGGAGTAGTGATGAATATGAAGTTGTGAAGCTGTGTTTATGTGTGTAATACCTGTAGAGACACAAAGAGAACACCCAGAGACCCTCCCCACGATAGTAACACAGACAGAGTGGACAACTGGCCTGTGTGGCCATTACAGTAGTTAGTTCCAGCCTGGAGACCCTGGAAAAAACAAAAGCAGCAAATACATTCACTCTCCTCTGATAAATATGCCCTGTGCACAATAATGTCACAGTTCACAGGTCTTATTAATCATAGAACAGTTCATAAGTTGAGTTATACAGACAACATAAGCCGCTGAGTTACTACCTTGCTTGCAATTAAAGCTGTCAAGCTGGAGGCCTGCATCCATGAGACGACTGCTACAGCTGCATAAGAGCCCAGAAGGAACATTACGCCACTGTAAGCCATGAGGACCAGCAGCCCTGCCACATCAACAAAAAACAGGATGATATAAGATGGTAGAAACACACAAGAAACACGAAAATATTTGTTACAAAAAATGTTCAAACTTATGATCTCTGACAAATGTTAAAATTAACTATTCAAACACCCATTTCAACCTGTTAAAAGTTAATTGTCAATGTGTGTGTATAAGAGAAGTGTTGTAACTGCCCTTCCAACAAAAGGTCGAAAAGGTTCATGAGTCGAGTGGTAACACCACAAGGTGGCGCTCCAGGAAAGCACTGACTGACATGAAACAGGATCGAGTAAATCACCTCAAAACACTGTCAAGTCTTTATATTAACAGACAGTGGGACCACACACAAGTTTTTTCGGTCACCTCTGAATTGTCCACATTAGTGCTTTTTCCATCGCCTACAGGATATTCTGGGCCAAGTTGAGTCTTGAGAGTATGCAGAAGTGATCATTTATACTCAGATGTATTTGGCTGGTGTATGTAAAGTTTGAAGCTTCTGTAATATTCGATCCAGCTGATTAATTCCTTAAAATGTCTCACAAAGGTTCACTGCTGTGCAAAAAGTTCATTTTCATTTTATTACTTCACAGTTATTATGCTTTGTAAAGCCTTTTAATTTGAAGAGCCTGTTTAAGCTTTGTCTACACATATTTCGTAATAATCGTTTTCAATACTTAATGCTTTCTAAATTAAATACAGTAGTGGCATGCACAAAAATATCTTGATAGATCAGTGTGAGGAAAGATTTGTGAGAGCAAGCGGTTTGATGAAAGCAATGCAAACATGGCAGGTATCAAGAGCTCACTTATAAAGCCAAAAAGCAATAAATATTGCTGTATTTATATATTGTTAGCTGAATCCACCCTCAACATATAAAACATGAAAGGGTTTTTCCTTTGGTTTGGCTAGAGATAGCCTATAGTGTGTAATTTATTTGTATGGCTCTTAATATAATAATGAAGATTGATTGTCAGTCTCACACACACTGTCATGGTGCTGTTTTAGGAAATGACTGAGCCTTTTGTAAAAATGAAACTATATATTCTACTCAGTAGAAATGAATGGACATGAGCCTGAGAGCCACAGACAGAAACTAATACATAGTTTCATTTTGTCTTTTAATGGGATTTGATGACAATAAGACAAGTACAGAATAATTCCAGACTTATCCTGAACATATGTTTAGACACTATTTTGAATTTGAATTTAGAAAAATGTGCATCTATGTGTGCTAACCTGTGAGGGTATCGCCACGATAATGCAGGATGAGGAAGACAATGGCTGCTGTCTGGGCCAATGTGAAGAGCCTCTCACCCCAGGCACTGTAGAGCAGTTCACATACAACACATGTAAGGAACACATCTATGAAGACTGAAACAAACTGCCAGCTGCAAATAAGTGATTGAAGAATTTTTTAAAAGAGTTTTAGAAATGACAGCATTTAGTTTACTTCAACTGTCAACAGTTTCTACCTCTCAAAACAATGGGATATAATGGGAGGTTTGAATCAGCAGAGACTGACAAAGAAACCAACTTATTGTTGTTACATACGTACAAGAGTGGAAAGTTGTTGGCCACAGCGTACACCACAGGACATGATAAGGCATAAAGCTGCAGGAGGGCGGAGGTCAGATTTAGGCCCGCTGCACTTCTTCTCCACAGTATCTTCAACAGCTGAGGAGGCTGAGCTGCGGGGGGACAACAGACACGGAGGTCACAATGCAGACGAGGTGCAACATCAATGAAGACAGCCAACCTGTAGTTAGTGGGTTTGGTGGTGTTACCTAGCAATATGTAAACTATAATGAATGAGACATTGCAGTTATGGCAAAATGTCTATATAAAATTACTTTATTGTTCAGTGAAAAAATTCACCACAAATGTGTTAATGAAAGACTGTTAATGAAGTGGTTTTGTGGTGTCATCACTAGGCCTGATGTTCTTTTTGATTATCTACACTGTTACAAGTATTGCATAGTAGTTTACCAGAGCACTTAAAGGTTCTCAGGGGAATCTTTAATCCTAATTTGATCATTGGGATCATTGTGTTGTACAGATATCTAATCAATAATGATAGTGTGAGGAGGTAGAGTGAAATGATATGAGTAGGTCGTTTAATCTCACCTGTGAGCAGTGAACTTTATACTTACTCTACATTTCAGACACAAACGTTGTACTACATTAGTCTTTAGCTACTAGTTACTTTTCAGATTCTTCCTGTCCAGTGACAACCACTTATCTCCAAATTTGGTGATTTTGAATTCGAATGTTTTCTGAGAAAATGCATGGTCACGGAGCTAAAAACCGAGCTGTTTTTTTTCTTTCACACGTGTGTGCTTCTCACAGGACTCTCTTATGTTTTTAGACTATGATGCAATGCTGTAGATTAAACTACCCAACAGTAGACCTATAAAATAGTGATATTAGCTCCTCACATCTACAGCAGTAAAATGCAACATACACATTAATGCAGCAGTAATATTAATCCAAAAACATAATTTATAATAGTAAACACTGACAGGGAGCATTTTACCTCACAATGTGTTGCTGATAATGTATACTTTAATACATAGTTTTACTACTTTTAAGACATTGAATGCAGGACTTTTGAAGTATTTTCACATGAGATACTAGTACTAGTAAGGATCTGAATATGAGCATGTCAGAGGAAGAACTATTATCTAACCCTCTGCTGTTAGTCGTGTTTGTTAGTGATGCTCTGCTGCTGCTGCTGTCACGTGATTAAACCAGAGAAGTCTTACCTAGGAAAGTGTCCAGTAAGATCCAAAATCCGAAAGTTTTGTTCAGTAAAAACTTTAGGCAAGGCACTGGGGCAATAAATGACAAATATTAAAAACAATCGGAGCATTAAAACATGATTTTATAAACGAGTAGTGGAAGGAATAGCCCAGATGGTACACATAACGTTCAACTAGAAGTAGGAGAGGCGAAACACCCCGAAGCCCCCACCTCGCAAACATCTGGATTTTCCGCAACATTTGACTCATTTTTCCCCGATTCTTTACGACGACGAGTCTCACCGTGCATGTGGAACTTCACGAAAATCTCCTCATAACATTTTTCTGGCATTAAATAGGAAACCAGGAACTCTTTCACGGGAGACGTGGCCATCGTGGCTCAGCTGTAGCCAGGAGCGCTCCTCTGGCAACAGGGGGACCGGTCCAAAGGTCCCCCCAATATTCACTACAGGGGCCGAAGAGGACACAGAGCCGGGAGAGTTAACTGTTATCTCTGAGGGTCGCCCTGACATAAATGTAGTCCGGAAGTCCACGGTTTCATATAAAAAAAGTCACCTAAAAAGTCAAATCTAACCTCTTTATTATTTGTTGGAAGAATATGCTATCTATTTGGTAAATACTACATTACTAAGTTCAAAGTATTCAATAGGCCTATATTTAAAGATATAGCCTATATAATATATAAAAATGCTCTGCTTTTAATAATAATTGCCATGTTAAAAATAAAATCAATTAAATTACATCCACCTCCTCTCCCAGAATATATCCAGATTATATGAATATGCAAATATTTCCATCCTCAGTGCCTGTGCAGTGGAGGCTTCAAGCTTCCACATCACACCTGTACGTAGGTATATAGACGCATATTGGACCAGATTGGCTTCCAAACTTGTGAAGTCACAAAACACAAAGCAAAGCAAAAAACACTTTAATGTCCATCTTTAAATGAGCTCTAATCCCAAGTTATTGAAGAAAATTTCACTCCTTCATTGCAGGTTTGATCAAATGTAAATGTAGACACATTGGTTAGACATCTGGGAAATATTAGAGATTATTTTGTGTAAAAGGGTTTATTCAGGCTAAATGCAATGTACTGTAAATGGAAGAGGTAAAACCATCTACCATAACATCCCCTGCACATTTGGATAGAGTTGTTTAACAATTTCAAAACTTCACAATAAGTACTTTATAATGCATGAAGAAGAGTTGACCAAAATAAAACTCCTGATAACATTTTTCTAGCATCAAATTGGTAAACAGTAACTTGTGTAATAGATACAGAGGTGTATGTTTTAATTGTGAAGACAACTTAAATAAAAAGTTACATAGCATTGCATTAATTCAGTGTTAAAATATTTATTGAGTTTATTGAGGTAAATACAGTACTGATTTATCTACCTACTCAAGTAATAGTACAAATTATGTGACTCTGTTATTAATCACCTAATTGATACATTGTAATAGTATTACTTACTAGCTGCCAAATGCAAATTCATTTTTCTCTCTTCTGGTCAGGTGTAAGTGGAACTCCTCTGAAAACAGGAAGTGTTCAACTAAAAACCAAATGAATGAGAGGTTTTACAGCAGTTGGTCAATGTTCACTCTGGCAACATGTGTACTGGAAAATGTGCCCGTTGCATTGCCTTCTCTCTGTACCCGTTTGTGCTCCTGTCCATTATCTGTAACATAGTGCTGTTCTTTCCTGGTTGGGACGTCAAGTATGTCAAAGAAAGACACATTACTGAGGAGGTGAAATACATGGGGGGACTCATTGGAGGGGGTATAATGGTAAGTTGTCTCTTCTTTTGCCTGTTATTGAAGGATGTGACTCTGGACTACAAGGTGATGCAAACGTTTATTTCTGAAATATAACGTGCAGCCTCAGGTAAAACAGTGGGTTACCGTATATTGTTTGTTTTATTAGCTTGCAGTCCTCACACCTGTTTTGGGTCCTAATTTTGTGTTTCGGTGGTAAAGATCTGTGATTCTACTGTTGGGTCTCTGTAAATGTTAAAAGGAGTTTGGTCCCTAGACCTGCCCTCTATTTGAAAAGTGGTTCCTGAGATAACTTCTGGTTTCATGGAATTGGCGGCTATACAAATAAAATTGAATTGAATTGAATTGATTCTCTTAACCTAGAACACTTCAAATCAGTTGTATTGTTCATTAGTATCATCACATACCACATATTTTAATGCATGATACTCTCATGAGGAGCCTTTCATCCTGACTGAAGCAAAGCCTCAAACCTTTTAATAAAAAACTAATTCCTCAGAATCTGACTGATGGCTGACTTTTGCAAAGTGCTGAATTGTTTCAACTATGATCTATTTTGAACATGTTTTACACTGATGCTGAATCTTATTCCAAGTCGACTTGCACCATTACAGGCGTTGATCCCGGCTTTGTACTTCAGCTTTACTGGAGAAGAGGGCTGCTGTGGAAATCGCTTTGGGGTAAGTCGGTCAGATGTAGACGTTTCAGGTGTTTAGTAAGAAATAAAGTAAAAAATAAGAAAGCTAGTGGTCTTTAGTAAAATAATATTTCGTCAAACTATTACTTCTAAGGTCAAGAAGCGCCACACCAACTAAATACAAGTATGTATATAATGAAAGCAAGTAAAGCTGAGAATTGCTCAATAGAAGAAAAAAAAGAAGAAGAAAGAAATGTGTTGCTTGGTGCTGCATCACTGTTGCACAACATTTAGGATAGATTGAGATAGATAAGATAATGCAGCATCATCAGCCACAGCACAGTACAGTTCTCCTTTTCTTGTTTATCAAAATGAAAATATCTAAACAGCATAAAAATGTCTGACGTTTGCTTGTCATTTAAACTCTGCAGATGTTCCTATCAATTATATTCGCTGCAGTAGGAGTGACTGGGGCTGTGTACAGTTTCGTTGTGGCAGTGCTCGGTGTGGGTAACGGGCCCCTCTGCCTTTATTCTGGGAACTGGACAACCCCCTTCAAACACAGGTGACAAACAGAACTTACATGTGGTCTTATAACAAAGTTCTGGTTATTTATAAGCCTCTTCTTTTTTCCATAGTAATGTGAGCTACCTGTCTGACTCTATGTTGTGGACACAATGCAAAGAGCCTGCGAAAGTGGTGCAGTTCAACACTGGATTGTTCTTCACTCTGGCAGCAGCCAGCCTTGTGCAGGGGCTGCTCTGTGTCGCTCAGATGATCAACGGCCTTGTGGGCTGCCTGTTTGGACTCTGCACAAACAAAGAGGTAAAAACAAAGAAGTCACACTTGTTGTTGGGATATCTGAATCCATACATTTCTCACACAAATTGTGTAATTTAAGATCATCTTAACTTTACTTCATTTCTCTTTTAATGTATTTCTTTTTGTGTCTAACTTACAGGAACCATAAGTTAACCACTCACAGTCAATCCTCATCTGTAGAGTTGACTGGCGCCCCATGCTGGTTGGCTGAGAGCAGTGTTACTGGCTGAATCTGCATAAAACATTTACATTGAAATTTCTGCTCTCTCCGATAACAGATTTAAACATTTGTATGTGTATTTCATGATGCTTCACACTGTTGCAGTGTATTAGCATATGTTGTGAAAAGAGCACTGCCTTAGAAGTAATTCATGCAAATTATATGGTTCATTTTAAATTTATATAAGCTTCTGATCACTGCTGCAGCTATGTGTTGTGCTTTATCATATGTAGCATTTTATAATAATATTAAACTTTTGGTTTATTGTACTCTACAGACAAAAAATAAATACCTGGTTGTCCTCTTTTTCATTCACACCATTAATGTTGATTGTATAACAACAATAAATATCGCTCAATACTGTATCCACATTTATATACATGCAAATGTTTATTTCAGAATGTTGAAGTTACTGTTGGTCCTCTGTTAGGAATTTTAACATGTTAGATGTCACAGCAGTAGCTTCTACTGTATGAGAAGGGACACAATTCAGGTGATGAGAGAGGATAAAGTCCACAAGGTTCTGTACTTGGACCAATACTATTTACTTTATATATGCTCCCTTTAGGCAACATTATTAGGAATCACTCCATTAACTTTCATTGTTATGCAGATGATACGCAGTTATACTCTATCGATCAAGCCAGGATGAAATCTGAATCAATTATCTAAATTACCAAACATGTCTTTTAAGCGACATAAAATCCTGGATGAGCCCTGCCAATTTTCGGTTCCTGATGCTTAAACTTAGAAAATGAATTTTTTGTACTTTGGGGCCCCAAAAACCTTTTAGAGACCTCACTGGTTCTACAAGATATACTACTCTAGATGGCATTACCTTGCGCCTCTAGCACCACCGGGCCAGGCAATCTTGGAGTTATCTTTGATCAGGGGATATGTCCTTTAATTTCCCCACATAAAGCAGACCCTCCTAGGATCAGCCTTAATTTCATTTACGTAACATTACAAAAAATCAGACACCATCTCCTTATCACGGACAGATGCCAGAAAAAACTAATCCATGCATTTGGTTACTTCCTAGGCTGGGATTACGTGCCAATCCTATTATTATCAGGCTTGCTTAATAAGTCCATAAGACGCACTCCAATTAATTCAAAACGGCTGCCAGCACGAGTACTGACAGGACCTAGGAAATAGCAGATCACATCTCTCCTAGTACTAGCTTCTCATGCTTGGCTCCCCTATTAAATTTAGAATAGAATTCAACAATTTTGCCCTCGCTCCACCTTATAAAGCTCTTCCATGGGTCTGGCCCCCGCTTCGCATATCTTGAAGAAGCTCCATAGTACCCTATTACCCCTCTAGAACACATGCCGTTCCTCTGCAATGCAGCGCCCTACTTGTGGTTCCTACCAGTCTCTAAGAAAGGTGGAACAGGAGCCAGCAGCCTTCAGTTCCAAGCTCCTGCTCCTGTGGAACAGCCGTTCCAGTTGTGCGGTGTCGGGAGGCAGACAAACTCCCCACATTTAAGAGCATCCTTGGTGGCAGCCTCCTGCCATGGTCCTGCTGACGTGCGCATTGCTAATATCAAATGACTATTATTGGTCGTTTATTATTTATTAGTTATTATTTAAGTATTATTATGTGCTACAGTTACTGTTGTTGCTGTTGTCCGCTGCTGCACTTTCCCCCCCAATTGCTTGCCTGCTGTTCGTCGTTGTCATCATCTTCTTCCGTGTTCATTAGTGTATTGGTGTAGTTGTTGCGTCTGTCTCTCTCTCTCTCCTCCTCTCTCTCTCTCATCTCTCTCTCCTCTCACCCAACTAGTCAAGGCCAGACGACCACCCACCTAGAGCCGAAGGGGTCTGTTCCCTAAGGTTTCTGCCTTTTACAGGCAGTTTTTACCTTGCACCCCAATTGCCAAGTGCTTGCCATGGTTGTACTGTGGGGTTTCTGTAATTGTTAAAAGAGTTCGGTTAGACCTTGTTGAGGAAAGGGGATCTTCCTTTAAACCCTTATGCTCGCCAGTGTTTTTAATAAGCGATAGGAGAAGATTTAGTTTCAAAAAACAAAAAATCAGCTTTATTCTTAACACCAAGTAGAACTGTCAAAGTTTAAGAGCTCCTGGGTCCAAACGTCTAGCATCTGACAGCAACAAATGTGTGGTCAGTTTCACGAAGTCTGAATATATCCTTCCTTGGTCCAAGTTGTTATAGTCCATCCAGTGAGAAACGTCATAGTAGCGTTTGTCCTTCCATCCGCTGTTGACGTCTCCCGTCTTGTGGTATCTGACATCACCAATGTTTATTCCATCAGCTGTTTGACGTCCTCCTCCATCCTCCTCCTCGTCTCAATTCGGTGGTATCTGGACTCCCATACGTTATTGTTGACGTCTCCAGGTGTAATCTGGAAACTTTACATACAAATAGACAAACGCCTGTTCTTTGCTAACAGATTGACTAGCACTCTCATGTTCCTTTGCAAAGATTCTAACTATCCTATCTAACCATCTTCGCATGTAACTGATAAATTATTCATTTTCATATATGGAGTTGTTTTGCATGATTTATGTGGCCGCTCCCTTATAGTTCTAGGATTCTGCTGGTAACAGTAATTAATGTAGGTCCTCCTTTAGGAACATGCAATACATATTAGTCATTCCCATGTTCTTATCAAACTATGTGTAGGTTACTGGACCTGTTCCCCAACATGTCAGGTTCCCTTGGGAGGCTCCGGTCATGCAGAATCATCCTGTCATGGAATCGTTCCCACACCAAATGCAGGGAATTTCGTCTTATCTCTCCCCGGGTCCTTGCCGGTGGGTCCAGACGCGCCGCACATTGGACAGTGTACCAGGTGTCCCCTTTTGCCCTTCCAGGCGGTATGCGTGTGAGGTTCTCTCCTATCACCGGTATGGTCCTGTCCACCTTGCTTCTGACCCACCTTCCTTTTGATGACCTTCAGCAACACCACATCGTGTCTTTTTGGGGCCCGGTGCCTGCTCTGCACTTCCTTGGATTACAGCCCACACCTGTTTGGAAAGCTGAACGCAAAGTGCTGTTAGTTGATCATTAAGTCATGGCTTAATAGGCCAGAAATGGAGTGGGTGGGCCCTGTAACCCCCCCCAGCTCCAAGGTCCCGGAAACTGCTGACCACAAACAAGCTCATATGGTGTGAACCTGATAGCGGAGTTCACTGACTCCCTTGTTGACATTAAGCTAGTGGTGAGGGGCTTCTAGCCCAGCTGAGTTTACTGTGTGCATATATTTTACCCCCAATTTTTCCCCTTCCAAAAGTGTCTGATCATCCTTTCGACCCCTTGCCCTGAGAACTGAGGAATGGTAAACGACTGTGCCAAAGTGTGTTTCAAGCCCTAAGCTTAGCTTCAACTTCTTGCAGGTGTTTGTTTTTGAAGTTGTGCCGATTGTCCAGACCTTATTCTCTTTTGGGAAACCATGTATGGGATGTAATGATTAATCAAAAATTTGACCACTGGTTTTCCTGGCGTCTTCCTTTTTTGCAGGTACAGCCCTCTGGCCAGCCAGTGTATGCCCATCCACGGCCCACCCCAAGAGGTATCTGTACCCCCCTGACATGATGTATCATGTCTGTGTAATTGATATGATTTCTTGACCTGGTAAGGAAGGGGAACATTTTCCTTGGTGTGGTTCGCCTGCACCCATCATGTACTGTGTGTCATAAGTCCATTTCAGTTTAGCTGCCCAGTCTGCAGCCGTCATTTCCCTCTAGTCAGTCAGTGTGTCGGTCTTGTCATGTCCTTTGCAACCCTTAAATCACTGCCACTTGTCTGGGCCTTCATCTAGTGCTTCTGCAAGTCTTTTTTATGTCTTCATGTTTGATGGTGTTTTTAGATGCTGGCGGAAAATTTGATCTAATCCAATTGACTAACATCAATCATGGATGACTCCCCACTACGTATTGCAGATGCTGTAATATATAGTTAGGATATTTATTCATTCTTTCTCAGCCACACTCTAGTGCTGCTATCATTGCCTGTAAGTAGCTCGCTGAGCTGACTCTCTTCCCCTGTCACTCTCCTCTGCTGTTACTGTCTCAAATCCATCTGCTCTTTTTCTCACCACTGCCCCATGCTGCTTCCAAGCCCATTCTGTGTCCCATGTCTGAAACAACAATCCGTCCGTGAACAAGTGTTTCCTATGCTTAACTGTAGTGGCTGGCTTTTAGATCCACTCGTCAACCCTCCCCATCTTTCCTGCCTTTTTCCAAAAAAAAAATTGACTGAGTGTAGGATCGAGTGGAAGGCAGAAAAAGGCGTTGGCCAGATCAATACATGTAAACCACTTGTGGGCCGGAGTTTAATAACTGAAAGTGCTATGTTGGATTTGGGACTGGAAGGAGTGGGCGTTGCGATGTATGCTGTTTAATGCCGACGCAGATCATGTGCCAATTCGGAATTTACCCCGTCTGTTGTTTTTTCAACTGGTAAGATAGGAGTGTTCCAGTTGCCTAAGTGCTGTCCACTAGCACCCCCTTGCCTCTAGGGGCACTGATTGTGACTGCAATTCCTGCCTCCCTGCCTACTTTGTTTATGTTGATACTGTCTCTGCCAGATAGGCGTGTGTGTGGGAAGAAGGTCCAAGATGGAAACAGGAAGGAATAGTAGAACAGAATCATCACATCTGTCGGTCCTAGTGACCCACCAAATGTTCAGGCAGGGTTTTTCAACATTCCCCCCTTCTGTTCAGGGTGGTATGTTTTCTCCCTGCCATGAACCTTTCAATCTGTCTAATGCTCTAGTAGCACAGTGTCCTGGCGTACTTGAGTGATCCTATAAGCTCTTTCTGAGGCTGATATGATACATTGGTGATCTGAGTTGGCACCCCCGTCGGAGACTTTTACTAGTCTCCTTGGTCATGTGGCCCAATTCCTTTTGCCTGATGGCAGATGTACTGCAAGGGTGATATGGAAGCAGGAGCAGCCAGGCTTCTTCCCGGCCATCTCATAATACTGGAGCAACTCATCATTCAGTTCTCCGAAC